TATATATACTATATATAGTATGTATATACACATGAAGTTTTGTTAAACCAATTGTAGAATCATCGAGTTGTAGCAAGAATATTTGATACAACGAAAAAAAGTCAAATTAAATCTATATATGTAAGATAATTTTATTTTATATTTGTTTGTTAATTAACCGTAAATTTTGTTATCTCTTACCAGACTTAAAACTACGAACTGCGAAACTTTGTTACACGTTGAACCAGATAGTTAATATAAGTAAGTGTTAATAATGTTAATTATTGCGATGCGTGCATTTCGCGTAAAACGTGTCTCGTTATACGATTGTCATCGTATGGAAGGTAAATGAATTGAATTACGGAGATGAGAATGCGATTGCGTTTTCAGGAATTTCCCTCATAATTAAAATGTCGTATTGCATTTAGATCCAGTGACGTTGGCATTTAAAATGATTTTCCACGCTCTTTGACCATTTCATTTCGCTGGTGCAAGTTTCGTATTCTCGTCGTCAATGGTGTTCTAGTATTAAGAATAAAAAAAAAAAAAAGAGTATCGAAAGTTTTCAATGATCGACGAAACGTCGATATTAATTCACTTTTTCGATAAATTCAGTTTCTAGCAAATGGAAGCCTTTCCCTCAGGTAGAATGTATCGTTCACCGTGCCATATTTTGTTGTGTATTTTCCATTTCCGTAGGAAATCCAACTGTAATTAATATTAACCGCGAATATTTGTGCAAATTCACAATTCGAAAAAATTTAGATTTCTCATGTATTTTTGTATGCTGCGTTATTTGTCTCGGAAATTGCATAAAAATCCGCGGTAATTAATCTTTCGAGTCTACAATAGCCTAGGAATCGATAGAATTACGAATGATAAACGTTCAGGCTGCAATGTTCAATTAAATCCAACGTGACAAGTGTCGATAGGCAATTGATCAATTAATCAATTATTTTACAGACATGGAATTTTTCCAATTGTTTCCTTTCGTTTCGAAGAATTGTATTGATGTGTTACTACTGAAGTTTAAAAAAAATTGTATTTTGACGAGTCCAATAATTTAATAATAAAATTTGGCAAGACAATGTACACTGATTTACTTAAATTAATAAATACACATAATTTGCACTCGATAACTATACTCACGTACTATATGAATAACTTATCGTAAATAATGCAGATTATAGTCAATGAAATATAATTAATGGATTTTCTTCCAGTATTACGTGTGAGAAACTAAGAAAAAGAAAATAAAGAAGATTGAGAACGAACAAGTTATGACTTTTTCAAACCCTCGAGTTTTTCAGTGGCCACAAAGCTGCATATTTTTCTTTTTTTTTCAGCAGCAACAATAGAAACTGCTATTTAAGGATTCAGAGCAACTTTTCATCCCAATTTTTACATGCCTCAAATTGCCTTGCTTGCCATCCAATTTTTCGCTAACGAAGTTAAATACATTAAGTATCCGGCTTTATCCTACTTTCCCCTACTTGCTAATCGAAATAAGAAAAAAAAAAGAAAAA